GGTTACAGTTGCATGGTAGCTAGTTCACTCCAAAGGCTGTAAATAGGGAGAATGTAATAGGATGATATGTAGGGGAAACAATTCAGAATTGAGAGGATATTCCCAGAAACAGAGGAGAGATAATTTCCTGTGACTACTGATCACATTGTGAGGAAAATCCTCTTATCTCTTTGGGAATACCACCTTACATGTGAGAACACTGGTAGCATTTCAAGTGTTTTAACATTGTGTTTCCTGGAGTGTTGTAATGTAAAATTTACCCAATTTGACTGTCTTTTCTTTCACCTTGCCTAATCCTTTCCGTGGAAGCACCTCTTTTATTGTGATGGGATCGGTGCGCTTAGAAAGAAGATAGTACATAAAGAGTGTATTTTTCATTGACTACAAAGTTAATAATTTAGAATAAATATAGAAATTTAATTACCTTTCTGAAATCAGATGAATCCCTGAAAAACAAAAGGGGTATATAATAAAGCAAAGTTGAAGAGGACAAAACAACTCATACATTACAGATTCCTCCACATACATCGGAGGTCCATGGTTCAGCTGTGCTAAAAACTATGCTATCTCCTGGGTTTCTGTGATGGCTGGTTTGGCTGACAACAATCATGTGACTAAAGGAATTTTGTGAATAGGTTTTGTGAAACATGCTGTTCATTTCACAAACCTGAGATTATTTGTCCAATGACCATAAATAAAACAGACAAAGAAACATATACCAATGCAAAGATACAGATTGATGAAGAATCCAACAATCATCTCGTGGAGAAGCAAAGAAGGTCCCTAAGAGATTCAATGGCAAAGGTGAAGTCAAAACAAAAACAAGCCATAGAACCTATCTAAATGAAATACTATTAAAAAGATTTAATCTTTATAATTTTAAGTATGTATATAATTACTGCCTTTGTCCTTTCATTTTTGTTTAGTACAGCCAGAGCTGTGTTCAGATCCCAGGGAAATGTTAGGTTCATTTCTTAACAAGGATATCTGAAAGAGTCAGTTGATATACATATTTTGACACTGAAAGCTATGACATCTATTATTTGTTTCTTATATTGAGGTGGAATGCTGGTTCATCTCGTGCATCCTCTATTCCTGTATTCTCTGGTATAAATAGATTAGATTTTCATTATCCACTTGTGTGAGAACAGATAGTTTCTACATCTAAGAAATAAGGGTTAATTGGTTTAAACTTTTGAGACATAAAAATATAAAGGGAAAGTTGAAATGGAAGAGCACAGCTTTATATGATAACAATAATATATTATTACACACACAAACACTCATATATGACAAAGATTTTGGGTATTCAAAGAGTAAACTGTATAAAGAGTTATGTTTGCAAATGAGTTTGGTTTGGTGTGACTTGCCAGTGTTTTACGTGTATTCACAAAAGGCCAGGCCTATCAAAAAATTATAATTAGCTTTTGAAGGATGAGGATGTAGCTCAGTAATGAAGTGAATTTCTAGAATGCCCATGAT